TGGGATCGAGCCCCACTTCGGGCTCTCTGCTCAGCAGGGAGCCTGCTTCCCTTCCTCTCTCCCTGCCTGCCTCTCTGCCTACTTGTGATCTCTGTCTATCAAATAAATAAATAAAATCTTTAAAAAAAAGAATTTATAGATGAGTCCCAGAGTGGCCCTGGCTAACCCAACCCCTCCTTCCCCTAGCACTTTAGTGATATCATAACACCTATAATTATCAGAGCCTTGACCCTGTACCAGGCACTGCTATCAGCATTTTTGTGTGTCACCTCATTTCGCCCTCAGAATAACCCTCTGAGAAAGGAACTGTCATTAGCTCCATTCTACAGATTATAAAACCAAGGCTTTGGAGAGGCAAGGTGATCTGTCCAAAACTTTACGGTGAATTATTGGGGAAGATGGCTGTTTCACTGGGGATTGCCTGGGCTCAGAGTCTATTCTCTAAACTGGAGCTAGTCAAAGGAGAGTCAGTGGGACAGCTTCACAAGTATCACATTCCTACTTGGAAATGCAGGCTCTTGAGCCCTACTCCAGACCTGCTGAATCAAAATATCTGGGGTGGGACCCAGCAGTCTGTGTTTCAACCAGGATCATGCAATCTAATGTATGCTCAAGTTTGGGCAGTGCCATCTAGCACACTAAGTTATACTGCCTCTTCAACAACCCTCTCAGTAGCTCTGAGAAGGGGTGGGAATCAGAAGTAGCTGTTACTATTATTGCTGTTGTTGTTGTTGTTACTATCATCATCATTATTATTATTACTACTACCACTACTACTACTACCATCATCATCATCTCATTTTCCAGATGATGGACTGAGCCTGGACCAAGACTCAAACACAACTCCTTTGGTTCCAAGGCCCTTTCTCTTTATGGACTCTGTTTCTCTATCTGAAAAACGAGTGAAAGGAACAAAAGGATCTTCCAGGAAGAAGAGGAATCCCAGGGTCTGACAATGGGCGCCACTTAAGAGAGTAGCAATAGTTACTGTTGGGCCCTGGCCATGGTGCTGAATTCGTGCCCCACTGACGGACAGCCGCCCAGGGTGGGAGATTGCGCCCCTAGAGGCGCCCCTGTCTTACAGGCGCAGTGTCTGACCCTCACCCCCAGGAAGCGGGAACCCGGAAAACTCAGCACCAGGCTGGATTCCTAAACAGCCCGCCCTCCCCCAACCCCCACCGCCCCAGCTCTTCTGGGTCTGAGAAGGAGCGGAGTGGCCGTCTGTGTCTTTAAGAGCAAGACACAGATTTTAGGGGCCAAACGGAGCTGGTCTAAGGAGATGGGTTAACTCCTTCCTTCTCCGCTCAAGATAAGTGTGGATGCGGGAGAGGACTAGGGACAGACGCTCCAAGCCCCAGCCAGAGGAAGGCTCCCAGCCAGACAGGAGCTGTAACCTGGAGGGCCTGTAGTATCCAGGACAGCAGCTCGGAGGGAGGCCCACCAACGACTACTGGGGCTGGAGACTGGATCCCGGGAAGCGCACCTCCTCCCTCCCCGCAGCAGCCGCCTCCTCCAACAGGCCGCCTTCCCAGCAGTGTCCATTCGCTTCCCCTTGCCTTTGTCTCTCTTCTCACCCCTCCAAGAGACTGGGTCTTTCTGGGAGGGAAAGAGGCATAATGGATGTTCCCAGAATTGAGGACGGTGCTCCTGGGGCCCAAGACAGGGCCAGCCATCTCCCGGAGAGCAACCCAGCATTCTCCACCCTCCCGTCCCCGAAACACCTTCCACCCTCCAGCCTCTCGCCGGAGTCCTCAGACCCCTTCCTCCCTCCTGGATCCCCTCCCCCACGTCTCCTGGCCACCGGGTGCATTCTGCTCCCCTGCTCCCTTGGGCTGTACCTTCTGTGAGCTGAAGGACTGGGTCCAGTGGTACAGAACCAGGCTCTCCTTGGGCCAATGGGCGGGGCTGAATGCCTCGGGCGCGTCCGGGGCCTCCACCGGCTTGGCCGCATCGCTCTCCAGCGCCGAGATGGGCCACCAGCTGCAGTTGGTGGGGGTCAGGTTGTTGGGGGTCGCCATGACAGCCCGGAATCAGAGGGAGGAAAGAAGGAGGCTCCGCAGCGGCAGCTCTCTCTCTCGCCCAGCATCACATGGCCTCGCGGAGCCTGCCCCTCTGCTTCGCTCCCTCCCTCCCCTCTTCGTGAATGTCATTACTCGCTGGGCTAGTGGGGGAGGGGCATGGGGGATCCCGGGAGCTCCTTCCCTCCTCCTCCCCTTGGCACGCCCCTGCCCTCTGCCAGAGAAACCACCAGCCCTCTCGGGTCCGGGTCCGGCTCCATGGAAGGGTTCAAGGAGCCACAGGGGAGTGGGCCATGCCCCTCAAATAGCTCGTATCTGGCCAGTCATTTGCGGAGTCTCCACCATTGTTAACGCATTCTGACTGTCTTCCAGGAAGCAAATATCTCTTAGGACAATTGGTGTTATAGAGACCCATTCCCTTTATAAAGCAGTGTCTGGAAATAGCTTGTCTCTCTTAGGGTTTGTCATTTTTAGCATTTCTCCTGAAGGACCTCTTAAGGGCAGAAGGAAGCAAACTATGAATTTTGGAGCAAATGCTTACACAGCACTAGCTGTGTGCCCTGGCTTTACAACCATCAACTCACTGAGCACGCACAATAATCCTATGAGCCTTGTTTCTGAGGAGAAAATTGAGGCACAGAGAGGTTAAGTGACCTTGGCCAAGGTCCCCTAGCTAGTAAGTGGTGGAGTCAAGATTCGAACCCAGCCTGTCCGGCTCCAGAGCCTATGCTCTTAATGCTAAGGTCATGATACCATGATGATACAGACAACAGCACAGCAAGCATTTATCAACCCAAGCACTTTACACGCATCATCTCATTCATCTGCACAACAATCATTTTTATTGGAGGAGGAAGGTGAGGCTCAGAGATGTCAAGTCATTGGTCCAAGGTCACATCTTCACCTCAGAGGCGGAGGCACAACCAGCGGAGCCCAAGAAAGCTCCTAATGCTCCACTGTCACTCAGTTTATCCTAAATATTCATGGGAGCTTTTCATAAAGTTCCTAATGCTCCACTGTCACTCAGTTTATCCTAAATATTCATGGGAGCTTTCCATAAAGTTCCTTAATATACCCTTGCTTCCCTTGCTCTAAATATTGTTTTAATTTATTTACCATTGAGCAAATTGATGCACTAGGATAAGCCTCTGAATTTGCCCTCCCTCTGGCATGTGATGCTATCAAAAACTCCAGAGCACATCACCCTTTCAGAATGATAAGCATGGCTCTTGAGGAATCAATGTCCTTCCTTTTACCTTTTACCATTTTTCCTTTTACCAGATGCAAAAGTTCTCTGGCCCATGGGCTTCCCTTTTTGCTTTGGCTGCCAGGAAGCTTGGAGCTACATTTTCTACTAAGTCCCAGTTGCCACATTAGCCTCCCTGGTTCAGCAAATTCTTTATCACCCTTCCATGAAATTTTTTTTTAAAGATTTTATTCACCTGAGAGAGTGAGAGAGAGCAAGAGAGACAGAGAGCACAAGGGGGGTGGTGGGGCAAAGGGAGAGGGAGAAGCAGACTCCCCACTTGGTGGTTGGGGGGGCAGTGCTGGATCCCAGGACCCTGAGATCCCAACCTGAGCTGAAGGCAGATGCTTAACTGGCTGAGCCACCCAGGTGTCCCTTCATGAAATTTTTATTTCTTCTTTTTCCTCAAAGTGTCTTGTTCACGATTTGATATTACAAAGCAGGATATGATGTGTCCTGAGGGAAGATACAAATGTCTGAATTCAGGGAAGTAAGATCTTAGAAATTTGATCGGGGTGGAAAAATCTGGTCCCTGTAGAGGTCCCTTTTAGGCAACAGCCTCAACTGAGCAGTGGAAACCTGAGCAAGGCAAAGGGGCCCACGGCAACCACCTAGCTGACACAAAAGGCTCACGAGGAGACCCAACTCGAAAGAGCCATCAGCCCTAACTGACCAGTTACAACCAAGCACAGCTCCCAAGATTACGAAAAAAAAAAAAAATTCCATATATCCCCATACTCCCTTACTTCACCCTGTAACTGTAGCTCTTCAGCACGGTCTCGTGGCAGACAATCTCTCCTTTACTGTCCTGCTGCTGCTCCCTTGCCTATCACTTTGGTTTTGCCTTGGGTGAATCTTTCACCCCTGGTGCTGCCAGTCCCCACCCAACTGGGATGCCCAACAGTCCCTGTCTGTCTTCAACCTAAAGGCATCCAGGGAGCCCATGTCGCAGCAGCTTCACTCAAATGTGCAGTCATTCCCTCGACAAACATTAATTATGCACCTACTGCATGCTAGGTCCTTTGATGGCATCAGAAATACGGTGATGAATATGACAGACATTGACTTGCTTTCTCCATTTTTCACTTATCGATACATCTGGGAAAGAGTTTCCCAACAACGCATGTCTAACCCATACTTGTAACTATACTTGTAACAGTCTACATTGTATGGGTGCACTGTAACAAATTTAACAACTCCAGTTAAGAGACATATATGCTGTTTCTAATGATGTAGCAACAATGATGTAGCAAAAATCCTTATTCATACAGATTTGCACATGTTTGAGTAAAATTTGTATGATAAATTCCTAGCAGTGGAGTTGCTGGATCGAAGAATATGTCTCTGCCCAAGTTCCCTCTGAAGAGGCTATTCCAAGTTACACTCCCCATTAGCAATCTACAAAACATTTCCCTGCACCCTTGCCAACTCAGCATATTTTAAACATATATTTTTTTTCATTTTGAATCTCTGGGTGAGAAATGGTATATTGTGTTTCTTTATCTGCTTCTCTGAGTTTTTACGATAAAGAAATTTTCACACATATGACAGCAAACAAAACAGCTCAATGAACACCCATATATCCTTCAATGAAATACAATCATTGGTTAACCCTTGCCATGTTTGTTTAATTTGGAAGGAGGGTTTGAAGTATTTTGAAACAAATTAAAGGCATCATGATACTTCATTCATGAAATGCTTCAGTATTAAGTACTTTATATCTAATATAAGTCATTTTCTTGCCTAAATGCACTTTTCACATTTAAAAAATTAATGATAAGTCCCTGATTATCTAGGTCATATTCCCATTTCTCCAGTTGTACCAGAAATGTCTGCACAGCGAGTTTGAACCAGGATCCATCCACACAGGGACCATGCCATGAATTCTGTTGTTACCTCTCAAGTCTCTTTTACGGAGAATGGTCCTTATTCATTTATATTTTTTGCCCACAATGTTAACTCACGGAGTTTTCCTGTACAATGTTCTGCTTGGGGGTCTGACCATTGCGGCACCTTTTAACTTGTTGTACTCTCCTCTGGGTTTCCTATAAACTAGTACTTAGGTCTAAAGGATAGTCTTGACTCAGGTAGAGCATTTGGGGGCAAGAATTTAATGAACCCTTTGTGGGTGGAGCTGTGTGCTTCATTTTGCCTTGAGTCTGGAGATCCACAATGTCTTGGGGTCCCACTATTAATGATGCCATGTGTGATTTGAGGTGGTGACCACCACTCTCCATGTTAAATGTCCATTTTTCCTCTTCCTACCGGGACCCTATGGATATCCGGTTTCTCATCCACTGATGGTCCTTGGCTGGACCAATTATCCAGGGCTGTAAAATGATTTTCTGATTTTGCCCTTTCAGGTGCATTTATCAGCTGGCATTCTTTGAGTTTCATTTTTTCAACTGTTTCAGATCCATTTTAATTTCTTTCCCAGCAAACAGTCTATGTTTCTGTGTGGACCTGGGCAGTTATACCCCAATGTGATGAGTGCTGTGCTGGGGTAAAGACAGGGACTGTGGCAGAGCTGGGAAGGGGCATTTGTCTGTCCCACCTGGATGCTAGACATGCAAGGGAAGGCTCTCAGGAGTTGGTGGCTTTCAGTATGGATTCCACTGAAGCAGGTCCCAAGAATTCAAGGACAAGCAGTTAATTTGGGAGAAGGCAATTCTGGGAGGCAAGTGGGGGAATAACGCAGACAAGAAAGGCAGCCTGGGAAGGTATACTGTCAGGCAAGTGAGCACCATGGGTGCCTGGGGCTTAATCCCACAGGGAAATTCTGAGGCTGGTGTAAAGCACTTAGAGGAGGAAGAAAGCCAGGGTATTTATACACCAAGTCTTGTCAGTCATTACTGGAAGGCTGCTCCTGGTAGGGAGTGCTAATTCCTCAGCATTTCAAGCCTGCCCTGAGGTTGGCAGTGGCTTCCAGTCACTAAAAGGCTCTCAGGCAATAAATGTGGGTGCTGCCCGCTGGGGGTCAGCCGGTGTGCACAGACATGGTAAAAGTAGGGGACAGGTAGGGCACTGTCAGCATCTGCTCAGGGACCTCTAAGCAGAAACTTTAAGAATGAAGAGGAATTAGCCAGATGAAGAGTAGACGGGAAAGGATGCATGCTCCAGGCAGAGGACGGAGCAGGCACAGAGGTGACAGCGAGGGTACGGTATTTCAGGGACCCACTGCTGTTCACCTGGCTGGAGACGGAGGGAGAGATGAGGCTCTGTGGTCATGCCAGGCCTGTTAAACCACCTTTAGGAGTTACCACATCATGCTGAGGGCACTGGGGAGTCACTGGAGAGTTTTCATCAGGGGAATAACACCCAGTTTGGGTGCCAGAAGTCTGAAAATGCCTGAAACACATATACTGACATTCCAACCTATTAATTCACCCTGGAGACTAGCTGTTCCTTGCTGGTGATGGAATTTCTCCTGACCTCTGCATGTGAACCAGGGATGGACTCAGCCACCAAAAGCTTGCCTTGAATGTGAACTCAGTACACAGTGAGATGGGGAGCCTTGGGGAGCTTTTCACTTGGGCCTTCTACTGGTGGATTATAATACATATGTTACTACAATAACAGCTAGGAGGGTTTCCCATGTGCCAGACACTGTGCTAAGCACTTTTTAGTCATTATCTCAAGTGAAGTGATATTGTTACTCTCCTGATAACACGGATGGGGAAACTGATGTTCAGGTGAATGAAGTTATTAGCCCAAAGTCAAGCATTAACACCCAAGTCCACAGAAAATGGAGTTCTAAGTGTCCACACAGTAGGGG